TTCCATTCCATGGGACAATACTCAGCTGCCTCTGATACCCATGCGTTTTTATATTCTTCATATAACCACTTGGGCAGCTCCTCTGCTTGGAATGTTCTGGCCTTCCTTCCCCCACGGCAAACACCAAGTCCAAGACTCAGTTCAAATACCCTTTCCTTATAAAGGTTTTCTTGATTGTCTCCAACCTGCCCCACCCCAATTAGAATCATGCAACACTTCCTATATGCTCCTTCGCCTCATCTAGGCTTCCATTATATCATCTTCCCCACCTAGTGCACTTACCCACTTACTTACCTGAGTCCCCAATTAAACTGTGAATTCCTGGAGGGGCAGGGAGTATATGTTATCCCCAGAACCTAGTACAGGGCCTGACACGCATCAGAATTAGAACACATGCTTGTAGAATGAATGGATGGAAAAATGATGGGAGCAAATACAGGAAAGAACAGAAAAGCAAACGAATGCTTACATTAATGCATGAATGAATAAGTGAGTGAGTTATGACTGCATAAATAAGTGAATGAATGTTAAGTAGATGAATGAATGAGAAAATTAATCCAATAAGTAAACAAGTTAACAGTGCCCATGTGCCAGTGAGGGCATGAGAAAAACTAAATTTCTACACTTTTTTTTTTTTTGAGACAGGGTCTTGCTATGTAGTTCAGGCTGCCCTTGAACTATGTAGCCCAGACTGGCCTCAAACTTGTGGCAATCCTCCTGCCTCAGTCTCCTGAGTGCTGGGATAACAGGTGTGCGCCACCATGCCCAGCCCCACCACTGTATCTTGCTTTAAACCCATCAGGAAGAACTTCTGCCTTCCTCTCCACCCGTCTAAACCACACATGACAATGTTAACCTCTTTCAGATTATAACGAACAGACACAGGTTAGTGATGGGGACTTACAAAAGCACAGGGAAATACAGAAGACAAGAAAAGCTATGCTGGCAGCCTGGTGGAAGAACAGGAATTTGAAAATGGTTCATGAACCAAAGCAGCTCAGTAGAGCCTTGGCTCATCTTGCCATCTCCTTAGCTGCAGGCATCTGTTGCTCCCTTCCCTGGTGCTTCCCCCAAATGGTGACTCAGCTACTTTCTGGCTGTAGTCGTGTTCCTCCTACTGCTACTAACTTCTTTCTGCTCCCCTCGTAGCTAGCCCATGGCTTTTATTACCTCCCAGCCTCTAGGCCTCCCAGCTTTTGCAGCTTCATGACCTTTGGGGCTTCAGTACCTACTAATCTACATGTTCCATGCTGTAGCTTCTGCGTGCCTTGTAAGTCCTGCTGCCTCTTCCATTCCGGTTGCCTTACTGCCACACCGTCCCAGCTACTTTGTGGCTCCGAGCCTCACGGCTTCTGCTGCCTCAGATCTTGTCTATTTAAGCTACTTTGGAACTCACACTTCGTTTTAAACAGGGTCTCCTTGTATAGTTCAGACAGGCCTCGAACTCGTGGCAACCCTGTCTCAGCCCCCGAGTGCTGGAACTACAGGTGTGTACCACTATGCCTGGTCTTCACATAATTAGTTTTGCTTTGTGGTTTCTGTTACTCATGGCTCCTGATACATTATGACTACTACTGCTTCATGGCTTCTGCATCCTTTTGGCCCATTATTACTTTGCTGTTTTGTGGCTTGTGCTATCTTGTGGCCCCATGACTTCACAATACAAGTGTATCATGATGTATGCTTATTTATGACTTCTACAGCTTTGTCTTTGCTTTTGCTGTTTAATTTCTGGCCATCCCTCACCGGCCACCACTATGTCTCAACAAATTCTAATCGTTTATTTCTGAATACCTAACATTTAGTCTCCCTAAAAGGTCTGATTGTTTTATAAATCTTTTAGATTCACATCACCCTTATGAGGTAAAAACCTTACATTAGTCCAGCTAACAGGCTACTGGCCAGCCCAGAGGTGGACTGTCTTGTGCCAGATACTATTTCACTCTAGTCATCTATGGCCAAGACTGATGTCACATGGTAGAAAGCATGGCAACTTCATGCTAAAGCAACCCCTTAGCTGTGGGACTGTGGACACAGCAGGTTTGCTGGGGTATCTAGAAGGTGGCAATGTAACTGGCAGGCAACTTGTCTGGCCTGTCTAGTACATTGACCTTCAAGGTTCAAGTCCCACCTTCTCCCTGACCACCTATGCCTGTTCTGATCTGCAGTGGGAGTGGATCGAGATCAAGGATCTAGAGGTGATGTGCAAAGGGAAATTGGGTTTCAGCTCTGGCTCCAGGACTTCCTAGCAGTTGGATCTTAGGAAGTTAATCCCCTCCGAGGGCTTTAGAGATTGGACAGTCTCTAAATTCCTTCACAAGTCTGACATTCTGGGCATCTTACTATATGTTACTGGATAAGGGATATGAGTCTTTCCTGGGAAAGCCCACAAAAACATCTCTTGAGGTAGGAAGGGAGTTGGGAGTCTTGGCTTGGAAAAGCCCCACTGCCCATAGGAGGTGCTTAGTCGAGATTTATTGAACTAGATGAATGAATTAATGGCTTGGGAAGACTGGAGAGAACACACAGCATGTTTAACTTGGGGGAGGCGTTTCAAGTTCCGAAGAGGCTGGAAGATTGGGATTCAGAAATGGATGAGGAAAAGGATGACTGGGATAGGGCAATTCATGAGTACTCATTGTATCATCACAGACACCCTTCCCATCCAATAATCAGTGACTGAATTGAGTTCATCGGCTCCACAGCACACCTCAGCACCTCCATTCTGTTCCTATTTCCCTTGCCCTACCCTAGAGCATGTCTCCTGGTCTTGTGAATAGTTTCCAATCTTCCAGTCTTTATCCTCTCCCTTATAAATACATTCCTTCATACATGCATTTGATCGTTACTGGAGCCTCTTGTGTCAGGCATTGTGCTTTTTGCAGGGCATATACTGGGAAGCAAGATATCCTCAGGCCCACCCTTGTGGTGCTTACAGCTTATTCAGACAAAATAAGCAAACATAATAGTGGGAGACACTGAGTATTAGGGAAACTGACAGGTATAGGCACAATAAAGCACGAACACCTAACCTAATCCATTTCCGTCATGGCTGGCTGGCCAGAAGCAGGTTAAATTCACATCTCATCTGGAGTCCCTTATGCTTAAACCAGTATCATAGCTTCCCACTACCTTCAAGGTATGGTTCTCAAATCTGCAGCACACTAGCCGTGTAGAGACCTTGATAAGCACTTGAAATTCCAAGGCCACACCTGACTTGCTGAAACTGAATGTTTAGAGGTTGGGGCCCAGAATGACCCATGTTTCTAGTGTACAATCTGGGAACCAGACTGTCCCATGAGATAAATCCAAACTCTAGCCACACAACGCTCTTTCATGGTAGTTCCTGACTACTCATAGCTTTGTTTGCTATTTCCCCCGTACTCCAGGGATCTTGGTTTCAGTATTCCTGGATTTCTTTGCAGTTTCTTGCCTTCAAGCTTTTGTGCTTGTTATTTCCACTATCTGGAATTTTCTATTCTTGTGCTTGTTATTTCCACTATCTGGAATTTCCTTCTATTTTCTCAACTAGCTGATTCCTACCAGTCCTTCGAGTCTCAGTTCACATCTCCCCTTAGACTACAGGATGCCCTCCTTGAATTTTCTAAGCTGGGTGTCTCTCCCATGCTTCTGTCGGAGCTGATCTCATATGGGCAACAGACATCTTAATTGATTCCACAAGTAGACAGTGAGCGCCTCAAAGGCAGGTAAGGACTTTGATGTATCTTTGTGTTTCTGGTGTGCAACACTGCGTTTTCCAGAGTCAAGAGCCCAGTGAAAGGAATATACTGTTCTAGAGTACTCTTCAACTCACCAGACCAAGGCAACTGGTGTTAAGAGTATCAGGAAGTTAACCCAGTTCCTCCAAGAAGCCCCAGGGATTCCACTTGAACCCATCTTGCTTTTAAAACTATGCCGTGGTACCCACCTACGTACTGAGCACAGCGTCACTGAAAGGTGTGGTCTCACAATGATGCGAGGTGATGGGGCACAAAAGGAGAAAGCAGTGGGAGAGCACTAAGAGATTCCTGTGGAAGGCTAGGCTCTGCCACTAAACCACTGGAATTTTGGACAAGTCATCTCCCCTCCCTGATCCTCAGGACTTAAGTCCTTAAAGCTCTGTTGTAGCACTTGTGCTCCTGTGCCAGGGTCCTACCCGCAAGGGATCATGTGTAATCCTTTCTATCCTTGAGGTAGGGGTTAGTTATCTGGGTTATTATCGACACCTACTGAATCAGATTTCCAGAGGGAGGGCAAGAGCCATTTAAAGAGCTCCATATCCTTTGAATATAGGGGTGCGGCAGGGAAATGCTGCTTTTCATTATAAGCCCTTCTGAACTATTTTTTCACCTGTGTATATATTGCTTTGATTTTTAAAAGTAAAAAGAAAAAGCTTCACAAATGACCTTGATGTACAGCCAAGGTTAATAAATACCTTTATAGTGGAAAAAGCAACAGAATAAACTGGAAGACATGGGTTTAAGCTCACTGTTATCTGGTAGGTGGGTCACTTATAGGCCTTTTGGGGTGTCAGTTTTCTCATTTGTAAAGTAAAAAGGGTGGTAATTGCTACCTTTAAAAAGCTTCATTGGCCAGGCATGTTGGTGCACACTTGCAATCCTAGCACTCGGTAGGCTGAGGCAGGAAGATCACTATGAGCTCAAGGCTAGCCTGAAGTACATAGCTGAGACCCTACCACAAAGGCTCCCCACCCCAAAAGTTGTGGTAATCTAGATATGCCAGCCACATTGTTTTAAACACATTGCACATAATATTCCTTTCACTGCTGCAAGGTAGGTATTTATTATCTCCCTTAATAAAATGAGGAAACTGAGGCTCAGCAGTGGAGTAACCTGCACAAATTTCTATGGATAGGATTCAACCGGGTCTGATCCCCAATCTATGTTAACGTTTTTCAAATTATGACACATGTACCACAGGTGGTATGTGACTTCTTTGGTTGAAGCAAACATAATAAGTGGGAGAAAAAACAGACAAAATTCTTGTTTAGATAGTCATGCCTTTTAATATGTATTAGAAAAATACATAATTAGCACATCAAATCTATGACTTCATGAATATCACTACTTAAGATAAACTTTTAACAATGTTAGACCTCAGATTACGTCAAGAAAAAAACCGAGTAAATAGTACAAGAGGACAACTGGGAAACACCTATTAAAAACATACATAAATGTCCTATGACTCTGCAATTCCACTTCTAGGAATCACCCCTAGGTAAATTTTCACACACGCACGTGCACGCACACACACACACTTTCACACAGATATAGGGGTGCTCCTATGTACTATTTTATAATAGCAAAAACTGAAAAGTCTTAAATGTCCACCACAAGAGAAATGGGAAGTAAAATGTGGTAGATGCACATGGCGGCAATTACAATTACAGAGCATGGATTGATTTACACTGAAGGAACATGCACAGATCTCTCAAAACATTCAGTAAAGAAAGCAAACTGGAGAATATAACATTTGCATTAGATACAAAACATTCTCAGTGAATTTATATATGTACGTAAAACTATTAAAACAAAGTCTAGATGGAAGTACAATAAACAGAATAGCAGTTAAGAGGGAAAGGAGCAGGGGGAGAAGTTGGTAACTGAATGAGACTACCTTTATCTATAACCTAATATCTCAAAAAGACGGGATTCATGCATTACTTGAATAATCAGAACTTTTTTGGCAGTGCTGGGGATGGAACCCAGGGCCTTGCACATGCTAAGCATGGGCTCTATCACTGAGCTATATCACCAGCCCTGATTTAACTCTTAAAAAGCAAACAAAACAACAACCACACAGATTAATATAAGACAAGTGTAATGATGTGTGGGAATGACTGAAGGCTGAACTCATCGCGCTACGCTTTGTTAGCTCTGCACAGTCCTTGAAGCTAACAAGGGTAGTTCCCAATACGACCCACACATGCTAGGCTGGGATACGGCCCAGGTGACCTTTCCCTCTAGTTCCTCACATCCCATGTTGGGGTCTAGGTACCTCGTTAGGAACATAGTTGAAGCTATAGGCTTTCTAAAGCTCTTCATTTATCAGGGAAACCCCATCAGTGCCCTGAAACTTTCCCAGTAATCACAGCCTTTCGGTACCTCCCAGATTTGGAGGTCCGTTCTGTTCCTAAAAGCTGAGATCAGAAGTCTTCAGGGGTCCAGGCCTGGGAAAGCTTGTATTCTAAGGGGTTGGCACCTAGTGGGTTCTACCCATGGATAAGGCTCCAGAAGGGAGCTTGACATTAAATCCTATGAGGTAGGTAATACTGTTAGCCCCATGTTTATAGATGAGGGAACTGAGGCACGGAAAGGCCAAATGATTTGCCCAGTGTCAGACTACTAGTAAGTGATAAAAAATGGGACCAGAACCCATAATTGTCTGTCCCCAGAGCCCATGCTCTCAGCTCCTAGTGCCTGACTAAATCCTACCAGTTTATCAAGGTCCACCTCAAATGTGACATTCTCCAGGAAAGCCTGGAGATCATCCTCTTCTCATATTTAAAGTACTTAAGATACTTGGCTAATTGTAGTAATTCACAAACCCACTGCATTTCCTATTAGGACAGAGATGTCAGATTCAACTCAGTATTCTTAGCATAGAGTTTGACAAATAAAAGGGTTCAGTATATATCTGCTAAATACATGAACAAGTACAACAAATGAGTGAATGAGGGCACTTTCTGGTGACAGCCTAATACTCCTATGAGGGACCCAGAACCTTTATCTCGCTCTGGGGTGCTGTCATCCTAAGCTCTCTTTGGAATCAAATTCAGCCTAGGCTTCTTCTAAGACAGATCTCCAATAGATTTTATTATTTTGCAAACACACCCACATGCATACAGGTGAACACACATGTGCACACATGCACGCACACACACACACACACACACACACAGTGGGGAAAGGGCCCAAGGGACTAATGATTATGGGTGAGGGGGTAGGTGGGGTCTAGGAGGGGGATGGACTGATAGCCCTGTTCAGCTCAGTTCAACTCAGCTCAGCACGTCCTTCCAGAGACCAGGATGCCCCCTGTAGCTCAGGAATTTTGCTCCAGACCTAATATAACCTCTGTTCCTCTTCGTGCTCGAGAACAGTGCCTAAATTCCATGGTTACACCAAACAGGGTTAGGGAGGATAAGAAGGTTGGGAACTAAACATCCAGAGATTAGAAGAGGGGCAGTTTGGGATCCACACAAGATGGAATGGCAGAACTACTGCTACTGTTCATTGGGGTTTGGGTTGGCATCTGGGTACTTGGTGAGATCGAAGGTCAGGACTTTGCTGATCACACAGTCCCCTTGCTGAAGGAGAAGGGAGAAAAAGAAAAAAATTGTAAGGAGAGAATCAGAGGGGTCTACTGCCCCAGGACCAGAAGCCTCAAACCCTCCTCCCTATGTACCTGCCCAAAGCCCAGGCAATGGATCTTTCTGGGTGAGAGATGTTCTTGTTCCCGTATGTCTTCTCTCTCTGCCTATCTGCCTCTGCCTGGCTTTTCTACTGGTCCCCAAATGCAACAGCCCTGCCCAGCTAGGCTGGCTAATCTTCTAGGGCAGGGCTCCAATAAGTCCAGATGGCAGAACAGGACCTGATTCCTGTGCTCCCCCGCCCCTTGCCTTCCACTGCAGCCTTCCCTTCCTACCCTGGGGAGTCAGGCAGGGAGTGGGACCGGCTCCTGAGTCAGGCCTGCCCTACCTCAGGATAGACTCCAATGAGGCTCTCAGCCTTGGTGTAGAACTCCTCCTTGAGAGAGATGACGATGGCCTGGAAGTTGCAAGTCGACTGCTCTTTGATGTAATTTGCCACCTGTGGGAGGGGCCATCAGGCACTTAGCAAGGCTCAAACTTTAACACACACACACACACACACACACGCACACACCTGTATTTTCTGATCTGAACAAGTAAGCAGAGGGAGTGGGGTAGGGGTGGAAGGCTCAAAGCAAGAGGCTGAAAAAAAGCTACTGACTACCATGGCATGAATGACCCTGGGCCCAGCCTCCCAGGCTCAGAAAGCATGCAGCAGAACAACTAGGGCGCACTGAGGAGTTGCTCCCTGAATCCCACCCACACACAGCCTAGGAGCCTCCCACCTGGGTCCCACTTCCCTTGCACCCACCTTGCCAATGTTGGTGTTATCCAAGGCAGCATCAATTTCATCCAGGACAAAGAAGGGGGCTGGTTTGTAGCTAGGAAGGAACCAGGAGTAAGCTGATACTGAGGGGGGGACATCAAATGCTAGCTTTCCCCTCCAACTCACAAGAGACTAAAAAGCCCAGGTCTTAATGCTGCTGAGCCTCTAAAGCCAATACATCAACCCAGCCCTCCTCTGCACCTGTGATTCAAGATCCTACAGAACCATGAATAATATGGTGATTTCAGGAGTTCCCAGGCTGGCTGGGGAAAGAGAGGTGGCCTCACCTCTGACCACACTGACCAAGCTATCCACCCCACCCCTATACACACCATGGTCTGCCATGCCTCCCTGCCTCTGCACAGGTAGCACCCTTGGCCAAGAATACCTGCTGGCCTCCCTGGCAAACTTATATTCCTGTTCAAGTGTCATTTACCCTCAAAAGCTTTCCCCAGGCCACCCACACCCTCCCTCAGAATGGTAGGTGTCCCTTGCCTATATATCCACGCACCCGTGCTCACCCGTTACCATACTTAGCACAATGTTTATGTGTCTAGCTTCTACTAGTCTGTAAGCTCCTCCAAACCAGAGACCAAGTCTGACTCATCTCTATCCCCAATCCCACCAAAGGATCTGGTACAGAGCAATACTCATAAAATGCTTGCAGAATGGTGCTATACAATTAAACACTGAGTTATAAGGCTCAAACACAAGTAGTACTCGCATTGGGGGTGTATGTGTATCAAGAGTATGCCACGGTGGTTAAACAGGGCTTCCTAGAGGAAAGGGAGAACAAGGATATGTGAAAGGGTGGAAGGTCAAGATAGATTTGCACAGAAGGGTCTTATTAGCCAGCAACCATGTGAGCAAAAGCCTGGAGTTGGGACTGAATACAGATAGGGGTCAGTGAAGACATGCTGAGGAGATGAGGGCGGATGGGAAGACAGGCCCAAAAACGTAACTTAGGCCAGATAAACTGTAGACAGGGAAATAAGGATGCAATTCAAATGCAACCAGAACATCTTCAACTCCGCAGATCTTAGCATAGCCTTAGGTCCCAGAGCCTCTGGTAACATCAGTTCAGTCCCTCTGCCAACTGCCCTGGGGGCACAGCCTTACCTATGGATGGCAAAGAGCAGGGCTAGAGCTGCTACTGTCTTCTCCCCGCCTGATAAGTTATCCATAGGCCGGAAGCGTTTGCCAGGAGCCACACAGTTGTAGTTGATGCCATCTAAGTAGGGTTCCTCAGGGTTCTCAGGGCCCAGGAATGCCTGGAGAAAGGTAAAAAGGACAGGATCTAGATCGGAGTCTGGAGAGACAGGGAGACAGGAAGCTTAGAAGGAAGGGCAACTGAGAAAGGAAGGAGCTGGCTGGGTGAGGGGCTCCAACCTACCTGGGCACTGCTGTTGCGGGACAGAGCCTTATAGATTTCATCAATGTTGGTAGCCACAGATTCAAAACAAGCATTGAAACGATCAAAGCGCTCCTTCTTAATCTGTTCAAATGCCTGCTTGGCCTTCTTTGCTCGCTTTCGGGCTGCCTCAAACTCTGCCAGAAGGAAGGACAGATGATCCCTCAGTGCCCTGGGTTCTTCCAGGGCTGAGGACCACATCATGGCAAGAATGACCTACAAATGACCATCCAAAGCAATGACATCCTACAGGGAAAGGAATGCCTAAAGAGGGTCCCACAGGATTTGTGTCCAGTGGATGTATTGCTGGACAGAGAAAGAAACATAAGCTTAGAGCCACATAAACATTCTTCCCTGGGTCCTACCAGGAACTAGCTTTGTGACCTTGGGAAAGTCATTAACTCTCCAGAAAGCAAGTGTGATAACCCCCAGTGTTTAGGGAAGTTGGGAGTTTTAAGTAAGAAATCATGTAAAGATAGGAGCTGTTCTGATATAGCAGCAGGTCCTCTGCATACCTCTAGCCTTCTGCCCCCATCTAAGGCACCTGAGAAACCCAAATCTTACCATCTGAGGTTTCCTGGAACTTGTCTCGGACACTTTCCAGCTTTTCCATGGCCTTCATGTTGGGGGCAGCAATACGCTGCAGGACACTTTGCTGCTCATTTAGCTTCTGCTGCAGTGTGTTCATCTCCTGTTTGATCTCCTCCTCAGCCTGGGCATCCTGCAACCCCAAGCCCAACAACATTAAGGAGAGCCCAGCCCCTGTGCCAAGACCCCCGGGGATGACTAACCAGGCAGGGGCCGGAGCACCTACTCCCATGAGGAAGGCAAGTTGTTCTTCCCCAGCTTAGCTCCTTCCATCCAACCCTGCCCATGGTAACTGTTCCCACACCCTTGGAAATTATAGACTTCTACTGCTTTAACATCTCTAGCCTTTTCCTCGGGCCCTGCCAACCTTCTTATCTCTGAAGGAGCAGCTGGTAGTACCCCTTTCTGGCTCTCAGCCTCGGCTAGAAGCCAGCACTATCCTAGAGTGACCTAAAGGCCTTCTCACAAGCTGCTCTGCACTCACTCACAGCTCCACAATAACCAAGGGAACTTTTTAGATCATTACATCTGAGCAAATTCCACTCAAACTTGGCTTTAGGTCTTACAGCTAGCTATTGTGATGCATTTCTGAGCTTGTACCCCACTGCCACTTTTAGTCAGTAAGTATTTACTGAATGCCTTCCAAGTGCTCGGCACTGGGTTGTCATGTCCTATGAGGCGTCCTTCCTGTGTTTACAAAGCCCAGGAAGCTAACAGAGGAACACACATAAGTAGACAACCAGAATACCATAGGTTGAACACAAAAACAATGATAAGCACAGTATTTAATCAGCACACAAGAAGGGCACCTAACTCAGACTCTGGGGTCAGGGAAGATTTCTGAGAATGTGTGTAAACTAAGGCTTGCAAGATAAATGGGGTGAGCACAGAGATAGGAAGAAGTTTTCCTGGTAGCTGAGAACATCATAAGCAAAAGTCATAGGAGTTCTTCATGCTCAACTCACTGAATTAAAACTCCAAAGGTAGCCAGCTGTGGTGGCCCACGCCTGTAATCCCAGAACTCAGAAAGCTGAGGCAGGAGGATCGTTGTAAATCTGAGGCCAGCCTGACATACATAGTGAGTTCAAGGCCAGCCTGAACTGTACAGCATGACACTGTCTCAGTAAACAAACAAACAAACAAACAAACACCAAAAACAAAATCTTCAAAGGGTTACAAATCAATATGGCAGTAGTAGCAATTATATGTGCATATGTGAGCATGTTTACGCACTCATACATGTGTTTTGGGGGAGAGCATACGAAAAGAAGAATCTGGATACTGCATTTTCCCAAAAATAAAACCTGGCTAAAAATAGGCCCTAGCTTGATTTTTCAGGATGCTCATAATGTAAGCTGTACCCCAAATAAGCCACAATTAAGATTACTAGCCAGACAGATGCATTGAGTACATCCGTTGCAATACACAACAGATGCACTGGATTATAAAATAATATTAATGACATTAATACTTAAATAATATAAATTATATATTTGCAAATACCCAAACAGGTGCTTTTGGACAAGAGCTAAATGCCTACATAAACAGGTGAACTCAAGACTTATTGCTGAATGGCCAATCAGAGTACAGAGTACAGTACAAGGCACAAATAATGTGCATATTTGATAATGGATGTGGTTGTGTCTAACATGAATCTTCATAATTCAATACATCACTTGTTTTAATGGACAGTGCACTTGTGTGAAAGAAAGAAACGTTTTCTGAGTTTTGGTGCCTGCAATTTTCTGTCACTTTTGTGTGCACCATCATTCTCAACTATCATCATTTTTGTTTCCACACCTACCTCTAAAGTCTTCAATTAACAACTTGATTTAATGTAATCTTTGTGTAATGTAAACTATAAGAGGTCCTGCCGGTGAAGAATTCATGGCATAAAATCACTGACAGCTATGCTGCCGGCGCACCACAAACAGGCTACATGTGATAAGAAGTGGTCATTTAAGGAGAGCTCTATTGCTGAACACGAGAGATTGGGGCAAAGAGTTCTATAGGAAATGCAAGTGCAAGAAATTCAGGCCAGAATTCAAGCTCTGGAGAGTTATAACAATGCTACAGAAAAAGATAACATGACTGTATTTGAATAGATGTAGATTTTTATACATGAACAAATGTAGATTACTGTATATGAAAAAATAAGACATCCTCTAAAAAGAAGCCCTATTTCAAAAATTAATGTAAGGGGCTGGGGATTTAGCTCAGC